CTGATTGTGAAATCATATTTCTAATTTTAAAAAACTGATTGTGAGTGATGCTGGCGTGTCTTAAAAGCTTTTCCTCTTTTCCTCTATCCAAAAACCCCAACATCATACATAGAAACATGCAATAGCTGTTAGCAAAATTCCAGAATGCGAGTGCAACGTGACATCGTACCGGAAAAGATTCAAACAGCTTCCCTATCACAAGCAGTGCTCACATTTCCAAGTAATCACAAATAAATCATAAATAAAGGTTTACATAAACTTTCAGAAGAGCTAACTGAAGCCAATTCAAATACGGCAAATTGGGGTATCGATAAAAATGTGATGATAACGCCCTATGTGATGATTATGTTGGCAAGCGGGTATATGATTGAGGTGAGATGTTTATGCAGTTGAAAAAGATCGGGAAAAGAGTTACCGCTAAAGTCGCGAGTATAAGTTCTGTTTACCGATTAAGATTACCGTTGAAGTCAAAGTCCCAGAAGGAAAGTCTAAAAGAAAAGTCTAAAAGGAAAGCCTAAAAGGAAAGCCTAGAGTGATATTGCTTCATTCCTGAATATTGTTGGAAGAAGTATGATCAAAAAAAAGTCTATTGTTTCTTGGGACAACTGTACTGGTGTCTTTGATGAAAACTATCCTTACAGTTATTCCAAAGAGCTACTAATGACCGACTATGAGATAGAATGAAATAGGAGCTTGAAATGAGGCTCAATCTTGTACCCTAAAGTCGCGAGTATAAGTTCTGTTTGGTTTTCGCATGCAAATTGGCGGCTGTCTCCGGTGCGGTGTGTCGAGGGTTCGAACCCCGCTGCAGCATAACTTTTTTGCTTTTTAAGAACAATAACAGAAGTAAATTTATTGAGGGTTATAGCAATTTCATGCTGTTATTTGTTATTGTTATGGCTGTTATTTGTTGCTCCGGGCGTGGCTCGGCGCGTCCGCCCTGCTCCTCCCCGGTGCTCAGTCTTATGGATCCCTCCCTGGCCTCTTCATCCGGCCAAAGTCCACGTGGACGGTCGAAAGAGATGCTTTCCAGGGTCTTCTTCAACACTATCGTCTGGACGTATCCATAACAAATAGCAATGGTGATAGGCTGTCACCCTGTAGTATCCCGCGCTCCAAGAACAATAATAAAAGTTTATATAACAATAAAAATGTATAAAAACCCAACAAAAAGAAATTCAAAGCAATTAAAGCGAATGTAAATTAAGGCAGAACTTATACTCGGATCAACTTATACTCTAGACTTTAGGGTATTTGAAAAACGATCGTCACTTTCGCGCGCCTGTAACTCCGTTGTCTTTGAGTTTAAACTATTAGTGTTATACATTTTCTGAAAGCTCTTTTCAAGGGCTACACAATGGTAATATTAATATTTAGAAATACGGTAAAGGCAAGGGAGTTACAGACGCGCGAAAGTGACGATCTTTTTTCAAATATGATATTTCATTGTCCAGTAGTGTAGATCTCATTCAAATTCAATACTAAACCAAAAAATTTAACTACTATACGCAAATCACCAATAAGAATCCATTAATCCATCCATTATCCATTAATTTAAATTCAAAATAGCATTTAGCACACTTCAAGAAGACATCTTGCATCTTTTAGGCTAAAAATCTTGCACAGAACACTGTTCAATTGTTTCCCTTTGATTTTTGATAGTCCTTTTATTTTTTGATTTGTTTATTTCCATGTCTCTTAGCGTGGTAAATGCAGATTTTTTTGAAAATACAAACTTTGGGGTAAAATCGTATTGAATCAAGCCTCCTAGAGGTATAATATCCCAAAATTTCTCATCTACAAAAGTTTTTATTAGTTTAGAAGTTTTTCATTCTAAAGATCTTCATTTGATAAAACCAAAGATCAAGAAAATTATCAGAGTTGTCAATTAAAATTTGAATCCAATAGAATCAAAGAATGCCAATAGAATCAAAGACTGAATATCATTTGTTTAAAATGAAAACTGTTAACTTTGATCGATTGGTAACTTTGATTGACTGTTAACTTTGATCGACTGTTAACTTTGATCGACTGTTAACTTTAATCTACTGTTAACTTTGATCTACTGTTAACTTTGATCGACTGTTAATCTTGATCTAGTATACATTATACATTAATAGTAGTTAACAGTAGACATGTTTTCGGATTGCGTCGAAATGGATCTGATCCAAAAAATCTGTTTTTCGGATCGAATCGGATCGGATCAGTTTGAATCGGATCCGAAAAATGATCAAAAATCACCAAATTTCTCTGCAATCTGTGTACCTTTACTAAAAATCGTTTAGCGTTAAGTTTTTTGTGCGTTTTACTCATCAATTGAGATTTGTTTTGTTTGTAGCAATCCATCTAATAATTGTATTACTCAGTTTGGATCAGGCTCGGGTCGAATTGGAGCGGATCGGATCGCGACCCGATCTTATCCGGTCCGATCCGAAACCATGTCTATTGTACCATGTCAAAAAAAATTCTTGGCTGGCCAATGTTTTCTTATTTTTCTCCCGTTAGATCGCATTCAAATAAATCGATTCCAATTAGTTTTTTCTAGTATTTTGTGAGAGCTTTAAAATGATATTCTTAGATTTTTGATGTAGCTGTAAATAGAGTCCGAAAATTCGTTTTTCGGATCGCGATCCGATCCAATCCAATCCGATCCAATCCAATCCGATCCGATCCAATCCGATCCAATCCAATCCAATCCAATCCAATCCAATCCAATCCAATCCAATCCGATCCAATCCAATCCAATCCGATCCAATCCAATCCGATCCGATCCGATCCAATCCAATCCGATCCAATCCAATCCGATCCGATCCAATCCGATCCAATCCAATCCAATCCGATCCAATCCAATCCAATCCAATCCAATCCGATCCGATCCGATCCGATCCAATCTGATCCAATCCGATCCGACCCAATCCAATCCGATCCAATCCGATCCAATCCAATCCGATCCAATCGATCCGATCCGATCTTACCCGGTCCGAAACGCTAGTTAACAGTATACTTAGCACTACCTTTAAAAGTTACCAACCAATAAATTTAACGAATTTAGGCCTTAACTTTTGAAAAGAAAACCAATCGGATTCTCGCATTTGGCCTTGGTGGCGGCACTCTTCAAAACTACATTTCACAATTTCCAAAGGCAAATGTAAGAATAGTATTTTTCTATCGATCGATTTAACCACAATTAAATTCAGATCGATGTAACAACAATTGAAATCGATCCAGTAATGGTTGAAGTAGCTGAAACATACTTTGCGAACAAAGCAACTGGATCAAATCGGATTATTATCGCTGATGGAATTGAGTACGCAAAGGAGATCAAAGCAAAAGGTGAATAGGTTATTCAATTATTCAATTATTCAATTATTCAATTATTCAATTATTCAATTATTCAATTATTCAATTCAAATCTTCAAAAATTCTTTTTATTTAAGGAGAAATTTACGATTACGTCGTTTTGGACGCTTGTTCGAATGATAAAGCGAGAGTCGTCATTTGTCCGATTGATGGATTTAGAGAAGAGGAAACGATCGCGAATATTGCTCAGCTGATCAATCCGATGGGTAAAGAAATTATGTAACAAAAAGGTTTTATCAGCTAAACCCAAAACATAACTGCCAGCAAGGTAAACCAAGCCAGTTTTTGCAGGCTAAGTTGAATCAAAGCCAAGGCCGGTTGGGGGTTAAAAAGCCATGGCCAAGGAAAGGCTAATGCCAAGTCAAAATCAAGGTTGACTCAACGAAAGCCTAGAATAGGTAGATCACGATTATGTTATTAGCCTAGTCTTGTTATTAGCCTAGTCTATAGTCTGACCGCAAATTATAGCGACTCACTTCTGAGGGTCTAGCTCAGCGAGAACTCAATGAATCCGTAAGAAATTTTTGAAGGTGATTTTTGAGTATTTCTTCTGTAACCAAGCTCATTTTCTCACTGATTAGTGCTTCAAGAATCTTTATATGGCCTTGCAAACTCGAGAGTCGCGGTGCACCTTGCGAAAAACCTAATTTAAGGTTTTTTAAAGCCGTTTTTGAAGTTATTTACTGAATATGATCACGTTTAAGACAAAAAAGATCAAACAGATTAAACAAAAGATCAAATAACTCATAGGAATTCGATTTTCTGTTCAAGATTTTCTGAGAAATTCGATTTTCGGTCCTTAAATTGAGTTTTGCATCAGGTACACCGCGACTCTCAACTTTGTAAGGTTATATAATGATTCTAAAAGCACCAATCAGTGAGAAAATGGGCTTGGCTACAGGAAACACACTCAAAAATCACCTCCAAAAATTTCTTACGGATTCATTGAGTTCTCGATGAGCTAGATCCTCAAAAGTGAGTCGCTATAATTCGCGGTCACAATACAACTAGTCTTCCAATTGTTTATGATCAAACGTCTTCTCTAATCAGCTCTATATCATTCTCCAGGTGGCCTGGTCGTTAACATTGTTGCTTATGAGAATCCAGAGCACAAAGAGGAGCAGGTAGGATGTGAAAATTGCTGATTCGCTTTAGAAAACTTTAGATTCGCTCGCTATTCGCCAAATACTTTGCCTCTTGCTTTTTGATGAGAATTCTTCCTGAGCAAAGGGTAAGTTTGAATTGAAAATGATTCTGAAAAGAATAAAAATAGTGTTATTCGTCATCTGTTCAGAGTATCAAGAAATTTTAGATGTTGATTTGCTCACATCGTTCCGAATGGACATTGGCGAGCCAGCGAAAGCGCTTCGAGCACAATCTCCGCAATCAACAAGAGAAAATCGGCATTCAAGTCACTGATCCATTGCTGAGTTTTAACCCACAATAAATCGTTGAACAAATTCACAATTTCCAACGAATTTTCTGATGAAAGTACAAAGAAAAGTACAAATTCGACAAATTGCTTATCAAAAACCCTCAGTTAATAGACATTGGCTGCATTGGCTTATACTTTGATCCGATTATCGAAAGTGATAAGAATTCGTCGAATGCTTCAAGCAAATAAACAATCGTGCTGAGAAATGTTTAAATTGATAATTGTTGCTTTATTTGTTCATGAAATTGCGGCTTTTTGCCCAAATGGATGGTTCGAGGTGCCACAGGAGAATAGTTGTTTACGAGTCGAAGATCAAGGTAAGGTTTTTATGGCTGATAATGGCTAATGGTTAATATGGCTATGGCTAATGGCTAATATGGCTATGGCTAATGGCTAATATGGCTATGGCTAATGGCTAATATGGCTATGGCTAATGGCTAATATGGCTATGGCTAATGGCTAATATGGCTATGGCTAATATTAGAGTTGAAAGGATACAGTAAAATTTCGATAACAAAAGACAAAACTAGAGGGATTTCGAAAACCTTTTTTGCTATCAAAATTTTTTTCCGGTATTTTGAGGTTTTCTAATGCTAAAAAATGCTCTAAAAATGTAGAAAAAGAGTGAAAAATGTAGAAAATGTTACTTGTGTAAATGAAATGCTTTCATTTACACAAATACGTTGTGTTTTGGTTTAGTTCAATTCATTGCTTCAGTTCAAATCAAATCAATTCGAGTTCAAAGTGCGCAAATCCAACGTTTTCCACTTGATTTGTGAAATCTAGAAACCTCATACACTCAAGCGATTCGCTCCTGTGAGAAATCGGGAGGTGACATTGTCAAGATCACAGACGCTTTCTTTAACGCCCTTGTCACAGCTCAAGGACTTTCTGGTAAAAATTCTATACTTTAAATTGAAAAGATTCAAAGAATTGAAAAGTTATCAATGCTAATTTGAAATTTGAATGCAAACGTTCACTATTAGCTCTGAACAATCGTCTGATTTACATCGGTGTCGAGAAGTTGCCCGATGGAACTTGGATCTACGCTGATGGCTCCTTTCTAAGCTATCAGAAATGGAAATCAGGTACGGGGAAAAGAAAATTATAGTGGATAAAAGCATTTTAGGTGAACCAAATAGCGCGTACGGTTGTGCGGTGCTTGATCCAAGGTCGGGAAGTTGGCAATCACAGAGCTGTGACACGGCGTCACCGTATGTTTGCCAGATGCCAGTGCAAGGTAGTAAAAAGGCACTAGGCACCAAAAAGAGTTAAAAATGGAAGCATTTTAAAATGGTAATCTTCTTGATAAAGATTCGAGTGTGCTCATTGCAAATAATGAGTTTTAATGGATCTCTAAAAGCTCTAAAATGGATTTGGGATATGGAGAGAGTGGTGTACTGGGAGTTGCTGGATAGCAAGGCGACTCTTGATGCAATCAAACACAATGAACAGTTGAGAAAGGTGAATGAATCCCTGAAGAAGAATAGGCCCCCCTAAGTCAAAGATCGTTCTCCTCCACGACAACGCGCATGTTGCAAAACTGACTCGCTATAAAATAAACAGCCTTGGTTAGGGGACTTTTGGCGCATCCCGAAACAGTCCGGACCTCGTCCCTTCTGATTACTATTTATTCCGAACCATGAGTGAAGAACACTTCGATCCGCTTGCGGGAGAACACTTCGATCCGGAAAAAGCAGTCAAAAATTGGCTACAAAAGTTTTTCGATTCAAAACCAAGCCTAGAGAAAACCGGAAATTGTCTGTAAAATGGGCAGAAGTCGTCAATAATAGTGGAAATGATTTGGCATGAGTTTATGGTTTTATGTTGAATAAATTTTAGTTTAAAGTCTCGCAGTTTTCAATGCACCAACCCAATACAAGTAATCTCTAAAAGCTCGGGATCTCTAAAAGCTCTGGATCTCTAAAAGCTCGGGATCTCTAAAAGCTCTGGATCTCTGAAAGCTCTGGATCTCTGAAAGCTCGGGATCTCTGAAAGCTCTGGATCTCTAAAAGCTCGGGATTTCTAAAAGCTCGGGATCTCTAAAAGCTCGGGATCTCTAAAAGCTCTGGATCTCTAAAAGCTGCCGTAAATCTTTTCTTCAATTCGAAATCAAAATTAGTAGAATGAAAAAATCTGAAGAAAAGACTACTGTAGTATTACGATATTTAGTGTAGATGAGCTAAAACTAGTCTTGTTTTATGTATCGAATAAAGTGACCGAATTACTAAAGCAACTTCCAGCCAACCCAACTGGACCATCGACAACGACAGCCCGTAAGTTGAACGGCAACGACAGCCCAAAAAACGGCTAAAATCTAAACCTTTAGCCAATTGCAAAGACGGATGGAAAGCATTCAACGGATATTGTTATTTTGTGCAAGTTTGTTGAAACTTTGTTGAAACTTCAATGAAAAATTGAACTTTTTAGAATTTCACTCTTGGTAGTGATGGCCTCTGGGCTTCGTGGACTCCAGATGACGCTCAAGAGCAATGCCAAATGCGAGCTTCAAGTTTAGCCTCAATACATTCCGATGCAGAAAACAGCTTTGTTAATGGTTAGATGATTTAGGTTTAAATAAGAATGAGTTTTTTAGACTTAGTGGCCTCGTATAACGTTTTGGATCAAACGCAGCACGTACCGAGCGGGACGGGATCCTGTGGGTACGCTGAGGCGTGGATTGGATTACGGTAGGCGGCTCTACCTATCGCATTATCTTTAGCTAATCTAAAAAACCAAAAATGAGTCATTTTGTTGGATTCAGCACTTTCCTAAGTCGATTACACCGCACTTGTTGAGTTTCCAATCTCGCATGAATTTGGTACATGGTATTCCGAGAGTTCTGGCACAAAAGCAGCTAGCAAATGTCTAACATATTTTAAAAATGCTAAGTGTTATACAGAGATTTAAAGCCCGGAATCTTGGCTACATTTAAATGCCAAAAGCTTTCGAATTAGAAACACATAACTCATGTAACAAGCTTTTGAGTGAGCACTACTCGGTCTCTTTTCGGCACGCCGCCATTTTTCACGTTCAAATTTTGATGTATGTGCTGCTCTAGCTCTATAAATGCACTAAACTTCATTTTTTGAACAAGAATATTGTTTGTTGTTTTGAAAATTGAAAATTGTTTTGGGGAAGCCATTCTGAACGAAATGTTTTATTAAAGAGAATCGACAAAAATGACAGCATGCCGGAAAGAGACCGAGTGGTGCTCACTCAAAAGCTTGTTACATGAGTTGTGTGTTTCTAATTCGAAAACTTTTGACATGCAAATGTAGCCAAGATTCCGGGCTTCAAATCTCTGTATAACACTTAGCATTTTAAAAAGTTAGACATTTGCTAGCTGCTTTTGTGCCAGAACTTTTGGAACACCCTGTATGCTTACAAATCAGAGAGTTATTCTCAATGTAAACCCGAGCAGACGGAATCGTAGAAGTAAAATTTTGTATTTTGTAAACAACGTAGCGCACCTCCATGTCACTCTACGAAAAGATTTATTCAGCTTTTTAGAGCCTACCCTGACAACACAACTTCATGGGTGGATGGGACTCCAGTTGACTATTCACATCACGTCTATTTTCCAATCAACGACGAGACAATGGCTTTTGGGGTAATCTTAATTGTATTTTGTGCAGTAGAATGAAAACCCATGCTTTCTGGCGTATTAAAAGTATTTAAATATTCTTCATATCATTAGATGCGCCAAATTTTCCTCTGTCGATTAGTACAAAAACTATTTCAATTGGAGAGCCCAAGATCAAGAAATTTAAGCTCAACGCTCTATTGCCAATGGCAAGGAGGGCGGGACGCGTACAAAAGGTCCCAAAATCGCCCCTCCCCTTTTGCCATTGGCAATCTAACTTTGAGCTGAAATTTCTTGATGTTGGGCGGTCCAATTGAAATAGTTTTTGCACCAATCGACAGAGAAAGACTTGGCGCATTTAATGATACCAAGAATATTTAAATTAGACAGCCCAACACCAAGAAATTTGAGCTCAAAGTTGGATTGCTAATGGCAAAAGGGGCAGGGCGTGTACCAAATCTCCCACAATCATTTTTATAATAGATTCTGAACGACAAATCTTGCTATACCGATTGGAACTATTGGAGTCTCGTCAAGTTATCGGCGCGTTTCGTTTGCAAGATGAAACCATTTTGATGTTTTATTGAAAAGATTAGAAAGAATATAAATGAATTCGGGTGAAATTACACACACTTTACCAGAAGCAAGCTACAAAAAGCGGCCAACTGCCGATGGGGTTAATAAAAGTGGCAATTACTGATCGATCCACAATTTTGGCAATTACTGATCGTTTTTTTGCCCAAAATGGTTAGTGAACAATTTGTCGACTCATTTTTCAGCCACAAAATTGTCTTTTTAATTATCTTTTTAATCGTTAGTTATGCAGCTCGTTAGCTAACTGCTTTTTACATTAACTCGTTGACTAAACCAAAATAAGATCAGATAATCTAGTTTTATTGGTTGTATTGGTTGTATTAGGTTTACCCATAAGTCTTTAGACACTTTTTTCTACAAGCGTTTATAAATGACAAATTCAGTAATTGACCTACAATTGGCTTCATTAGAAAGGCCCACGATTTTTCTAGAAAATAACCTTCGAATCTTATGAATCTTAGCTTTCATCTTTAAACTTTTTGTTTGTTTACAGGCACTAGGCTTTTATACTTTATCTTACTACAGTATGCAACTACTACAGTATGAAAAAAAGCTTAAACTCAAAGGCTGAACATTTTGCGAAGCATTTATCGTTTTTTCTATTTTTCACAAGCTTTGACCAACAATTGTAAAAGTGTTTTTTCTTTGCTCTGACTATTAAAATGCTCTGTGTCTTTTTCTATTGGCTTTTTCTGGCAAGGCGCTCTCTCCTGTCTGCTCTCTTCCTCCATCAATGTTCCCCTCTTTTCGTGATCTCTTTCAATTGGATTCTCCGCGAAAATCTCTTGCTCTCTAAAGCCTGAGATCTTTTTCTTTCGCTTTTCAAACCTCTTTCAAAGCTCTTTCAAAGCTCTTTCAAAGCTCTTTCAAAGCTCTTTCAAATCTCTTTCAAATTCTTTTGCTTTTCTCAGAGTTTTATTTGATTCTTGTATTCTTATTTATAGATTTCTCCAATATTTTTGGGTTTTATCAATCTCTACGTCTTTTTCCTAGATTTCTTTCATCTTTTCAATCTTTAGCTCTCAATCTTGTCAATATTTTCTTCTTCTTTCTTTCAATCTCTCAATCTTGCCAATATTCTCCTCTTCTTTCTCTCAATCTTGTCAATATTCTCTTCTCCTTCCTCTCAATCTCTCAATCTTCTCCAATCTCTATGCTCTTTTCGAATCTCTTTCCAATCCCTTCACTCTAATTTCTCCCATCTTTCACTTATCTTCTTTTTACAGTTCTTTTCACAATCTTTCAACTCTAAATCTTCGCATCTTCTCCTCTATTTCTCATCTTTTTCCCATTCTCACCCCTCTCCCCAATCCCTTCACTCTGCACTCCCATCCCAGGTCAACCCTTCTCCTTTTCTCTTTTCCCCTCCATCTTTCTCTTTCCCCAATCGTCGCCAACTAGCAAAACCCTTCCCTAGCATTTCCCACCACTTTTATTTAACCGTTTTTTAAAGTTTAAATCTAAATTTTTAAACAGCAAATGTTTTCATTCAATACTCAACATTTTTCTGCATTCATTGATGAAAACTTTTCACTTCACTACAGTTTCGAAAACCCATTTTTCGAACAGCTCTATAGAAAACTTTATATAGTAGCCAGGATTTGTTTATTTTCTTTGTAGAAAATTTATTGGCGATATTTATTAATATAAATTGGCGATTTAGTTCATCAAAAGCTCATTTCTTTATAAATTTTGAGTAACAACATTTTTCAATAGGTTTAGCTTTTTATAAAACAAAATAAAAAAGGAAACACTTGTCAATATAATTCGGGAATAGAGCTAAATCGTTTTGAGAAAATTAGAAAATTGAATTGAATTGTTTTGACTTTGTTTTTTTGTTCAAAATTGTTCAAAATTGTTCAAAAACCCATTTCCAAACGATCACTTTTAATAACTATACTCTATTTTTATACTTTTATTTGTTTGTTTGTTATTTGTTATTGATTATTGGTTATTGATTATTTGTTATTGATTATTCGTTATTCATTATTTGGGGGGTGGGACAAATGCGACCTTTTTTTTGCGCACCTGGACATTTGCGCACCTTTTTTTTGCTGGAAAAGGCCTTAGGAAAGGTTGTAGAGCTTCAAAAATATTTCCATATAAGGGAATCGTATGCGTAGATTCAGAATTTTGACAAATCAGACCTCGCTGACACGTCAAATTTGGGCTAAAAGGCCAAAACTGCGGAAAAGCGTAAAGTTGCGTAGTTTTTGCCTTTTAGCCCAAATTTGACGTGTCAGCGAGGTCTGATTTGTCGAAATTCGGAATCTACGCATACGATTCCCTTCTATGAAAACGTTTTTGAAGCTCTACGACCTTTCCTAAGGCCTTTTCCAGCAAAAAAAGGTGCGCAAATGTCCAGGTGCGCAAAAAAAAGGTCGCATTTGTCCCACCCCCAGTATTTGCTTTTTTTTTCATTTCCAAATCGAAATCATTCCTTAGCTTTATCAAATTTAAATTTAGATTATGAAAAGGAAAGAGAAACGAGAAAATGATGAGGGATCGACTTCAAAAGGAGAAAAAGAAGCACAACCACCGATTAAAAAGGGAAGAAAAACGAGAAATGGACCTGAAAAGGATGTAAAAGTAAGTGAATTTTGAGAATTTTCAGTTTATATTTCTTTTGAATCCACTTTGAGCTCGGGAAATGAGAAACTCTTTCTAGTGCACTTTCTAGTGCAGGTTCCTGAGTTTTTTCTTGCCAAATCAATCGTTGCTACTAGAAAAATGAAGAATTGAGTGTACGAGAAGAGATGTGTCACGTTAAAGTACAAAGTACACTGCAAGAACAGTTTAGGGTGGATTTAATAGTTGAAATTCGTTCTATTAGAAGAAAATCTATTTGTTCTGTTCTTTTTGTGGTTAGAATAGAAACACATCCTTTCTGGTGCCTCTTTTTACTATTAGTGGAAGAATTGAGCTAGATGCTAGATGTTTGAATTGAGCTAGATGCTAGATGTTTGAATTGAGCTAGATGCTAGACGTCAGCTAGATGTTTCTTTTGGTAAACGTAGAGTAAAGATCGGGTAATCGATCGGGTAATGAAATGTTACGACAGAGTCGGATTCTGTCGTCAGAATCCGATTCTGTTCTCAGGCTTCGATTCAATTGTCAGGATCGGATTCTGACGACAAAATTCGATTCTGACATAATAACAATCATAAAAATCATAACAAATCCAATATTTACTAGCCAATCATTCAGCTTAAGGAATAAAAAACAATTCAGGAAGAGGGCTTTGACGCGAAGGACTACAAAAGCTCGTATTTGCTACCGTTGACAAAACTAAACGATCACATCACCTGTCGGCTATGCAAGGTCAGTTCAAAACTGTTAACGAAAAGATTAAACACAAAATTAAACAAAGCCATGTTTGGCTGACTGCTTAAGTGTCTTTTATCTTAATCGGAAGGTCAAGGGTTCGAACCCAGTGTGCGACAGCGTCGATTTCCTTTCTCTTCGGGTTGAAAGATTCTACCAGTTTTTGTTCTACCATTCTACCACAGTTCTACCATTCTACCAATTCTACCATTCTACCACAACCACCAGACTACCCGGGAGGGTAATCTGGTGGTTGTGGATCCAGTTCTTTAAAGTGACAAGCCACTCCTTCATCGTCATCTTCCCTCCACCACCAGAAAAAGCTATTTAGTTTCCCATTGAGTTTAGGGTTAGGAAGAGGGCTTTGACGCGAAGGACTACAAAAGCTCGTATTTGTTACCGTTGACAAAACTAAACGATCAACTCAGGAACGGCGTGGATTAAGTTTTAAGGATTAAGGATTAAGAGCCGCCTGTCATGGCGTGGATTAAGTTAAGAAATAGCCTAGTATTGTGTGTGTTATTGTATCGTGATTGAGGTATATCGTAAATAAACCATATGTCGCCGGTGTATTCTTTTAAACTATGATTAGATTTAAAATCCAATTTACAGGGGTATTTCGTTGACGCAACGACGGTCATCGAATGTCTGCACACCTTTTGCAAATCTTGTTTACTGAAACATTTTGAAGTAAGTGAAGTTGGCAAATCAGAATTGAGTTTCCGACTAGATTTTTGCATTAACAAGCCTACGTCGTTTAAGGTAAAGCACAGTACATTTGATAACAATAAAGAAGTGAAGGAATTGGCAAGGTTTCTTTGAACGAAAGTGTCTAAATCGTGTAATCGAGTCGTTTTTGACGTTCAAATCTGCGAATAAAAAAACAGAAACAAAACATTTCTTTAGATTTCAACGATCTTTTATAGGAAAATATTAGGCCTTTCTAATGGAGCAAAGCGTGGATCAATTGGTGAATTGATTACTTCTAAATAGGCTTTTAAAATGAAGGTCTAAAGATTAAAATCGATCTTCGATTGGGTTGGTGAATTGAAAAATATATTTTCAATAAGAGATTTCAATTTTTGAAGAATATCGTTTGGCTCAAATTTTGTCAAATCTAAATCTAATCTAAATCGATCTCTTCTTCAGTAACTTTGACAAAACCAGCCCAAGAATAAATAAGATTAGGGTAAATTTCGAAAAGTGACACATTTCCGAAAGCGCTTTATTCTTAACTCTTTTCAAAACTCAATCAAAAAACTAAAAAAACGTTTGCGCTATTTTATTTTATCACACCATTTATCCGCTAGCAGTTTTGCTTGATCGTTAAACTTAAACTCTTACACAAGCACTCTTAACATTCTTAGCATTCTTAACATTCTAAGGGGGTAAGCTGCTTTGATGTGTCAAAAGTTTAAAAAAATTAAGGCCTTCATTAGTCCTTTGTAAAAGCTTGAACCTGAAATCTTTCAATTTCAACAATCCTTTTAAGCTAAATCTTTCAACTTTTCAATTGTTGAGCCGTGCCACTCCAGTTCATCTTTCTGTAAAAATCTTGAAGAATTTCTAGTAAAGCATTACTAGTAAAGCAGTTCTAGTAAATCATTTCTAGTAAAGCGTTTCTATTGGGTTGGTGAATTGAAAACTGCAGGACT